AATATCTGATTAAGTTTGCCAATTCCATACAAAGATAACCAACATTAAATAAAGCAAACTATCAAATGTTTGGAAACAGTTGTTAAATTACGGTTCAGAATACTGAAGTATTAGCTAATTATGCCATTCATTTGCGCTGTTTCAGTGCTTTTAGCTGCAACGCTCAGGTCCAACCCCTTAAAAGACACTGGAACATAATTCCCAACTCCCACAAAGCTCAGTAGAATGACAGTTACCTTTAGAGCTCATAATGTCTGTACCCAAGGACATGACAGGTAAGTGGATTCAGACCATGGCAGAGGTGAGAGTGCCACTAAGCCGGGTTTCTTTCCTTTCAGTTCCCATGGGCTCTTCTCTGGTCAACAGAGAGTCCTGTCCCACCGCCTTTCAGACCTGCTGGTAATGCTTATTTCCAGCAGGTTTACATGTACATTCTTCTACAAATACGAATAAAACGTGTTCAGCTTTGTATTTGTTGCACTTTCTGGGTACTTAGTCATTGTGCCTTCAGCTGAAAGCCTTTCTAACAATTTTCAAGGCATACACAACAGCTGCCACTTAATTCTAAATTTATGTATTTAATTTTTATACGCTTTCTCCACTTGAATGCTGTTTTCCTATATTATTTATAACAAAATAATAATGAAAGAATAATTCATTTGCTGAAGTCAGTTGTTATTCCCATACAATGCTTAGATTACAGAACAAACGTTTGGAGCACCTCTCCCCTATGTTTCAGTCCCCATTACTCTCTCAGACACAGCGGTTATTTTTAAACTGTTTCCTACCGGAGACTTTTCAAGATGTAAACCTGAAGGCCCCTTCTTAACTCAGCAGTATCCCTTTAGAACTTAGCTTATTTACAAAAGCAACACTCTGGCAGTATTTTCCTAAGTCACTAAAACTCAGTATGCTTGACAGTAACGCAGCAGCTCCTGCAGTCGCGTGTCCCAGCCTGGAACTCTGCTGGTTTTCCTTACTCAGCTGCACAGTGCGTGGCCTGATCCCGAGCCTTCACCAGCCACCCTTCCCCTCCTCTTATACGGGAGCGTGACCACGTCTGAACAGTCACCACCAACCAGGATGGTGTTACCCCCCGTACTGGTGCGCTCCCACCAGGCCTGTGATAAGTCTCTGCCCCGATTAAGGCTGTAGGAGGCCTTCGACCCCCCGCAGGTACACGCGTGGTAGCCACGGGAAGACACTCCAGGCCACCCACCTCACACAGGTTTGCCAAGGAGGCTTACACGCACACCTTTTGAAGATCTGGCCTCACCAGTAAGTCTGTGGACAGACTTACTGTACGCGCGGGAAGTCTTTGTGCAGCTTCTGCCTCCTCGAAACAGGGCGCCTGGGGCAGGAGGTGGAAGCCAGGCAGAGAGGACTCAAATCACGGTTTCACCCATTCAAAACAGGCAAATTCCAAGTAATGCTTCACGAATTTCCAGACTCACAGGCTTAGAGACAACAAAACAAAACAAAACAAAAAAAAAAATCAACCTCTAGCATGTAATTCATCAACTAAGAGGGGAAAAAAAGTATATCCTGACTCTCATGGGGAATCATCAGGGAAGAGAGGGAAGTATGGGGAAAGCTCTTAGAGGTCTCAGGAATCTGGAAAGAGAGGAGAGAAGGGGGGGAGGCTGAAAGTATAGTATTTGAAGAAGTAGGATACTGGATGGAGCTGTTTAGTTCAGCTAAAACTTCAATGCTTTAATCCCACCACCAGTTAAACTCTTGCTGCAAGCTGACGATATGCCTTCTAGGTACAATCTTCTACCACCCACACTCACCTTTCTGCATTTTTGATCAGTTCAGTCTAATTTATAGGCGTAGTAGTACGGGATAAATCTGGAGAAGTGCTTGCTGCGAGTTACGGAGCATCAGTGTTAAAGGCATTCAAAACCTTCATTTTGTACCAGCGCGCAGGGGACACTCTTTCCAATTGCTCATCACAGACAAAAGTCCTGTTCTCGAGTAGGATAGCCAAGAGCAAACACTAGGAATGAGGACCGACTCTGTAAGCTCGGATTCTGTAACACTAAACCCCTGGCCTAATAGTAAATATTAATACGACACATACACACACCGCCCCCGGCACATTTTCAGGTGTTCTGGACTTCTTACTTCTCTCTACACTGTGCTTCGTTCTTCAAAGCCAGAACACCTGCTGCTCCACTTGTCTTGAACACCTTCCCCCTGTCCCCAGCGGGGCCGGTTCTCCCCGCACGGGTCAGGAGCTCGGACCTCCCGCCGCGGCTTAAGCCGCCCCCCGTGCCCCCCGTGCCCCCCACGCCCCCTGTGCCCCCCCCGGGCTGGCCCAACGCGCCGGCACTGGCTGGCGGCAGCAGCGCGACAGCCGCGCGGCGCGGACAGGTTAACGCGCTCCAGGAGACGTGCCAGTTTATAGAACGAAAGAAAAAAAAGGAGCAAGTATGTATTTCATCAAGTCTCCAGTTTTCAAAATAACCCGATGGGCAGCGTCACTGTAGCTGTCGTATGACTTCTGGGAATCTCGTGCTCCGTCCTATCAAACAATAGTTTACTTCCTAATGGGAAATGATGCTTGACTTGTTTTCCTTTGTTTGTCCTGTCAAATGTTGGTTGCCAAGTTTCTGTCCAAATGTTCAAAAGACAAACTGTTTACAGGCACTAAACCCAAGGCAAGTCTGCCTAAAAGTGGGTGTCTGCCATGAAAGAAATACCAAGGATTAGTTCTTTATGTAATTGGAGATGTCTTTGCATATGTGACCCAATAAAAGATAATATGGGACAAATACAGAAATAAACAAAGCAAAGAATAATTAATATTAATTATATTGTACGTAAGAAAGCTTTAGCAGAAAAAAATAATAATTATATGCCAAGTACAGTACTCGGACTCTGGATACAGGAGCCCCCCCTTCCTCTCTCCAGCACAAACACATGCACCACATTTTCTCTGTCTCTCCAATACCAGAAGGATTTAGCAATGTAATCTGGTGGAGACTTGCAAGACTCCTGGACAAACAAAATGTTCCAGACAAGAGCATTTGGGGGGTTCAAGGAAAGAGGTACAAGGTAAGAAAGGCCAGAGGATGTTGCTTGTAACAAAGAAATGGTTCTGTATCAAATATGAGCTGTTTTACTATACAACCTCAAATAATTCAACCAGACAATTTTCTGAAAAATTATTTAAACTCCACCATTCAGTCTTCTCAGTACCTGGTTGCTCTCAGTACAACTGAAAGCAAACAGAAAGCAAAATATCACATGATTATTTTCAGTGGTGGACAAAGTAGTCTTACAAAATACAGCTGCACATTTTTCTCTGCAGAGAGTAATACTTTTTCCTTCCCAACAGCAAACTCACAGTTCAAAATGTGTTATTAAGCTCTCACTAGTGTTATTTGGGTCTCGAGAGCATAAAAATTTTAAGTGCCAGCCAAGCTTTTACCAGATGATTATGGACTTGAAAATAATATAGTTACTTTCTTGCATCTTTTAGTAAATACTAGACAGAATAGGACAAAATACAGAGCAGGTATTTATTTATTCAGTACCAGTGATAAGAGTTGGTAAGTATCATATGAAAAAAAAAAAATCTTCTTCTTACACTTTGTTTACTATTCTATATTTAATATAATTTTCTATTATTTATATCCCTATTTTCTGATTGTTTTCATACTTCATTACTTTGCAAGTATAGGAGGAGCATTTTTTTCTATTATGCTGGTTGTACTTAGGATAAATGCAACTCTCTCCTTTCAGTTTCTAAACCAAATTCTTTGCCTATGTGTCCGATTCCCTGTCTTGTATAGTACAAAGCAGTCATGCTACAAGAAAGTTTTGAGACAGACAGACATGTAACGATACTCATACTATCAGCAGTGACTAAGCCTTTTAGGAAATAATTTTTCTTCTTCATAGAGCTGGTTTCATTTCCCAGATACATCAGAAAACAACGAGCAGGCACTCACGAAAAAAAAATACATCAGCAAAAAAACCCCCCAGTTTAGATATGCAAGAAACAGGTAAATAACACGCGCATTCGTGTTCTTGTCAGAGACAGGACCTACAGTTCCGTCACCTGACGTTCACGTACATTAACAAGCATTTCAAAAAGTTTGGGAAATTGAGCCACACGCCAGGCCAAATTCACCTGGGCTGTGGGAACAGCTATGCTCAAAATTTGGCCGGGTCCTTTGTCTAGCCGGGGTCTGGAACCGCGGGGCCCTCCCCTCCCTCCCACCCACCCAGCGCGCGCCTGACCCTCCCGGCATCGGGCATCAGCCCCCGCCAGGGGCATCGCCATACAAGGGGTCTTCCCCCCCAAAATGAAACTTGTATGAGTAACATTTTCTGTTTCAGCCAGTTCGCACGCTCTGATAAGCAACGCTTTGCCTAAATGTTCCCTGCTAAGTCTATTTAGGCAACGACAGGGCCAGCGGAGCAGCGCGGAAGGGGATTAGCTGCCCGTACGCGTCTTTCTGCTGCCGACCCACCGGTCCCGGCGGCGGCATCTCCCTTGTCACAGCCCAGGACCTGCAGGTCTCACCTCGTTACGGGGACGCTGTCAGCAAAAGCGTTCCAGGTCCTCAGGTTTACATGTAGCTGGTGAAATCTTCAGCAAAAGAATGCTGCTCTGCCCAAGCTTTCATAACAGTCAATAAATTAAAAAAAAAAAAAAAGTTTAAACCAATAAATACCAGGGAAAGAAAATATTTGCGGTTTGTCAAAACCAATGAATTCTTCCCACTGTGAAAGTAATGGGTGATGCTTCAAATCTAGGATGCTGCAGCTCCTGAGACGGCATGATTCACTGAGTTTGGACAAATTCAACAGTGATGCAAAGTAATGTCCACGCGGATGGAAACAAAAATCACATGACAAAATGGGACAAAAAGGATACCAAAGAATAAGGCATTTCAGTTCAAACTAAATCTTTATTCATATGGAAAATACTACTTTTCTTTTTGCAAATGATGCTAATAAATAAAAATACTCAGAAGGAACTTTGCTTAGAGTTAAGTGACTAGTTACAGCCACAGGAAGCTTTTAATTCCCATTAAAACCACGCCAACAATCATGCAGATTGGCTATGAGAAAGCAATATAAACTATATTTTATTTTGTGCAATCTTATCATACAATCTTAATGCTACGTTCTAAACCATTTCACATAGATTGAAATGCAATTTCAAAACAAATATTAAGGGACGTATTCTACACTTATTCCACATACGGAGCTGTGTATAGATTAAGCCCATAAATGTATAGTGTAGTTAAGCATCTAAAGAAGGTAAAAGAAAAGAAGACCCCATTCTGAAAATTCAGACAAGTTTATAAACATAAGAGGAGCTCACACCAGTGAGATCTCCAAAGACAAATACATTAATTAAAGCATAACAATAAATTATATTAAATTTAATAATGTTCATCCTTAGAATGGTTATTTCTGAGGAAATATCACTTACACACACCAAAACTTTCATCACTAGGAGTTAAACTAAGTTTACATATCTCAATTTCCCACTTGGATGCAATTTTGTTTTGTAGTAGGCTTCAGGTTTGTGAACATATTCTTTACCACACATTGAAAAACAAATTGAACAATGTTGCAGTTAAGCTGTGCATCAAACACATCATCAAGGTGAGAAACAGGCACTTGACAGTATAATGTGCAAGGCAAAACCTTTACTAGTCACAGTATAAATAGTTTCTTCAGGAGGGAAATTTAAAGTTCTCAGCATCTTTGCTGAGCAAAGATTTTGCTCAGCATCTTTGAGAGCAAAATATCGAGGGCTGCTAGCAGATCTTTTTCTGTTTTCAGGTCAGCACCAATAACCAAACTAAATACTAGCTCATGCCTTAGAGGGTATTCCATAAACTATAAAATGCAGCATACTTGACCCAAGAATACTAATTCTTTCCTATAATTAACCTCAGCGTATGTATTTGCCAAAGGCAAATACAGAGTTTACTCACAGACTAAATGATGCAATATAAATGGTAACCCTTTCTCCTCTATTAGTATTTTTTTAATATATAATGCCAATTTTACAAATACATTTGCCAGTTACAAGATCCTGTTTTGTAGCACAAAACACTGGTGTTCTTGTATATAAACTTAAGAACAAGGTCTTTTAACATACTATTAATACCAGAAAAAAAAAAAAAAAGGAAACAAACAAACAAAACAAAACAAAAAAAAGAAAAACCAACCCCAAAAAAACAAAACCAAAAAAAACCACCAGAAACAAACCCATTTTGCTACAGTTTCCCTCCAGGCACATCTCAACAGGAATCTCCAAAAAACAGCTATGCAGGAACTGCAAGCCAGAAAATTATACATGAATCGGGAGAGAAAGAGAGAGCTAAGAAAGGAGTAATGTGGCAGTAACAGAAAGAAGGAACAAGCTTAGAAGAAAATTGCATGCATCCCTTTTCATCAGCAGAAGCTTCTTGCAAAAATATGTTTACAAGACATCCATTATATAAAGGTATATGCTTTCCTGTAAAAACGTTGATTATCTCTGAAATATTAACTTGATCTTCCAACTGTACTGGCCATATTGCTAGGCAGTCAACAAGTTTTCAGTTCTGTTATACCAGTTTAACAATCAGGAGAGAAAAGGCCTACTGTTCATTTCTTATGAAACTTTTGGTTTGATTTTTTTCCATGAATGTTAAAGTAGTATTTATATAGATATAAACAAAATAGAAACCAACTTTGGATCTGACATCAGCCGCACTGCTAGTGAGAGACAATATGCTAGAAAGAGGCACTTTTAGTATTCCTATATACATTTCAAATCTCAAGTTTAACGCTTCACCTTCTTTTACCAAAAAATTAAAATATCAGTAGCTAATAAGACAAAGCTGTATAACAAAAATGTTTCAGAAGTTGTGTGCATGCACATACTTGCAATGGCTCAGTTACTCAGTTACCCTGAAAATGCCAGTGGGGGGGGGAAGAACACAGTACAAAGCAAAACAAACTCTTTGTAGAACAAGGATCAGCTATTGTAAAAATGAAAAAAAAAAAAAAAACAAACCAAACGCACCCTTCCATAAGAGGCAACTTATCCCTAGATTCAGAACTACAGATACTGAATATCAAGATCATCTTATACTCTAACTCACTGCTGCTTTCCAAATTTTCAATCATTTTTACTTTTGGCATAACATGCATCTTAAAAACTGAGCAGTTTAACTTTGTCAAACAATGTTCAATATTAAAAAAAAACTCTGGAAGACCCATTTGACCTGACTATTGGTGAATATCCTGTGAGGAAAAGAATTACATTAGAATAGTATTTTCCCATTTCATACACAGTATAGCACATTGTGACAGGTGAGCATCTTGTATGCACAAGCTGAAGCATATGCTGAGGCTGAAGATTTGGAAAACAGGCTACTAAGTATAAGCATTCTCCCTGCAAGCAACAGATCAGTATTCTTAATTAAAAAGAGACAGCATCAAAACTAAAACTTTGAGTGGCCCTCAAATACCAGGGGGGAAAAAAAAAAAAAAAAAACACAAAAAAAACAAAACAACAGACCCCAAGTTAGTGGAAGTTCCTACATAAGGCAGTCAAATTTACAACCAGTGTATACATTCACTAAGGAATTACATTTTTTTTTGGTAAAACCAACAATCCAACATACTGTAGAGTCTGAATGTGAAATATAGGCACAAAATAGATTCTCTACTTTTTTTTCAGTGTGGAAAACATAGCTATTTAACAATGTAATAAGAAAATTTACTGTCAGGTGAGCAAAAATTTGTAACAATCTGAATAAAACGAAGTACTGTATAAAGGTGCAATATTGAGCAGATTTGATTTTGGTTTAAACATACAAGTAAATCATGGAACCTTTCTCGTCTTATCTATAAAGTATTTCACCTTACCAGTATCATTCTAGTTCTTCCCAGTTGTCAGTAAGGTTACCTTTGCTTTGACGTCTAATACTAACCAGCTTTCCAGCTGATTTGATACTCCACCTGGAACTGTTTCCTGAGCTGGCCAGGTTTGTGTATTTTGTGGAGCCTTTGGTTTCATCTTCCCAGCCTGACCAGGCTGTGTAGTCACTTAAAGTAGTTGCTGCCTCACTGGTAGAGTCAGCAGCGGTAATCTGTGGTGGTTCCCATCCCTCAATCTCATCTGGTTTCCTAGACTGGACATTCTGCTTTATCACCAAACTGTCCCAAAAACCCGGCTTCTTTTCAGACTTCATCTCTTCCTTTAACTTTATATTTGTCCTAGAAAATAACAATGATGAGGTGATTATTTTCTTCATTTAACAATGCGTGTGATAGTTATTAATAAACTTTCAATTGATTTATCAGGTTTTATAGTAAGGAATGCTAGTCAGTCGTCAGCCTACAATAGCACATTCATTACTGTCAACTCCAGGAAAAACACCCTCATACACATGTAAGCCTAAACACAGAATCTTGCAGTGATAAATCAGAAGTGGACTGAGTACGGCCACTTCCTATTATAAAAGAACTCATACACTCCCCCCCTCTGCCCCATGTGAATTATACAGAACTGCCCCTGGAAACCTACGAAGTATTTTAGAACGAGTTATGACTAACAAAAACAAACAAACAAAAAAATCCCACAAACCCAGAGGTAGGATAGTAGAAGGAATATGAAAATGTTTGGTCTACCACCAGCTTTAACAATCACTGTGTTCCTCAGCTTCATATACCTTGCCAGTTAAACCTTATACACTAAAATATTTGATGTACACAGCATTAGGACCTTAAAGTTACCATCATTTTTTCCATAGAGAGCTGCACAATATTTTGAAAACATCTGGTTTGTATTTCTGGTAAGAACTCATGAAATTCCTCTCCCAAAACCAAGAAAAAGCAACCTCTGTTGTAATTTCTCTCTCAAAGAGACATTTGAATAGCTACCCATATTATTATATTTCTTATTCCATTAAGAACATTCAATCTGAATTATTTCATATTTGCAGTGTGGAATATTTAAAATACAGAATGTCAAATGCTTATGCTAAGTTTATATACAGGGTTATGAATGGAATCAAATAATGGACCACAAGGAAAGGATGAATACCAGTGGTGATACACACAACTTTCAGGGTCCAATGAGCTAAGTAGCAAGTTGAAAATGTTATCTCCTAGTAGCATACAAATTATCTCCAAGTAGCCATAAATAAAAACACCGCTGACATTTTAAAAATATTTCCATTAAAAGAGCTTTTTTCCATTAATGAAAGTTTGACACGATCATATTTCTGACACGATCAGAAGCAACTGAACCAGTATTTTAAAAATTACTTTACTGAATTTTGAATTTATGATTGTTCAGAATTTTCCTCTTAGTAAGCCAGTCATAAACTCTGAACACTTTTCTCATATTTTATGAGTAGCGTACTTGAAAAAAACGCATTTTTCTTTAGAAGTAGTGTATGAATTGTGGTATACAATTACACGAAAATTCCCCCAAACTTAAAATATAGGCAGTTTTCATAGTAATGTTAAAATAGCTTTCCACATTTGTGGTAACTCCATTTTCATACTTCTGATCTCTTCACTGGTCTACTTGTTCTTATATTCAGCATCAGTTGCAAAGGACCCTTAAAACAACCTAGCATCTTAATAACACCCATAAGATTGTACAGGGTGTATTGTACTGTACACAGTAGCTGAGAACTTTCGGGAAGTGTTATTTAACAGGCTCAAATGGAAATTGAAATGTACCTATTTATATTAGAAATTGTTTTTATATATACATATATATACACACACATACACACACCCCCTATATGCACACATATACATTTGCATACCAAAATACATATATGTCAAAGTAAACCAGAAACAAAACATACTACAGCAAATCTTATCAGAGCTAATATTTGGCTGGAACAGCTATACTGATAGTGGCACATTTTTTTCCTGTTTGTAACCAAGGTAGTTAGGCAGTACGTGTAGGTGAAGCCTACATACACCTGCAACAGCAAAACAGCCTGTCCCGGGAAGAGGTCTGTCCTGTTTGAAAAACAGCTCTAACTGCCCCAGCAGCAGAACCATTCCAGGTAAACACCTCAGCTCCAACAGGAAGATTTGAAGATCCTGTTATAGCTACTCCACTTAACCTTTTTAGGTGTAGAGAAGATTTCAAAAGAGAAAGTAAAGCATGTGAAAGAAGGAATTTGTAAACTCAACCATAATTAATCCCTAAAAGGAAAGGGGGAGGAGGGAAATGACCCTTTTATTCAGAAACCTTTAATCCAGTAAAGAATTATTATGCACCTATTCCCTTTTCTTCCAGACAGAACTAAAAAAGGTTATCAACAATATCCATCCTTTCCTAATACAGCATGCCTTATTCATTGTAAGCTTAACATACACATAATTTTGAAATGCACATAGATGTTTCTCTGCAATTTAACCGCAAGTTGAGCACTACTTCTTCTCAGCGTCTGCTTTCACTGCTATTTTCAGTTTATGTACTTTAATAGCAGAGAGACCAGCTGGCTTTACTCACCCTTTGGATTTTGGAGACTTGCATCCCGCTAGCAGTTGCTGTTCATCGTCTTTATTGAACATAGACGTCACTTCCTTCCAACCCCGGAAACTCGCACCTTGAACCTACACAGAGAAGGAAACATCCTCATCAATGTGAATGACAGACTTGCAAGTGTAAGAAACTATGAACTAAGGGTATTGTTTATTGAAATTTATGTTAAGCTCAATGTAAAGGTTAGGCGGCAAAAGACAAAAAAAAAAACTGCTTATGCAAATAGCTGCCAGACACCTGCTTGTGTGAGACAAGATAACCTGTGAGACAAGATGACTGCGTGAGATAAGATAACAGCAATTGCTTACACAAACCAGATACTTGTGCAAGCAGAAGGGGTACTGATCAAAAACAACCACGGATGTAAAAATGTATAAAAAGGAACTGTTTGAACTGATCAGTACGGCAGTTGGCGGAGCGCAGACTCCCCTGCCGTCCAGCGCTGTCTTTGCTCATATTCTACTTGCTATAATTAATAAAATTATAATTGGATTATGATCCATTGTGGTCTCAATTTATAACACAAGCCTGGAGTGTGGCTGCCAGCGCTGACTCTGGGTGGCTGACAGGCAGCAAAAGCCCCACGCCCGGGGTGCTGTGCAGCTGGGAGCGCGGCGGCTCCGTACAGCCCGCTGCGGAGGGGTGGCCGCCGTCTGGGGAAGAGCAGGTTGGGTTCCGGCAGCGAGAGCTCTTCCCTGCTGAGCACAGGGAACAAAACCTTGCCGGTTTGCAGAGGCTGGCAAGTGATGGCAGTGGGTACAGCTGAGCTCTTCGATGCTCTTCGCCGGGCAGGAGCTGCTGGCTCCGTTTTAGTGTCTCGCAGTAAGGAGGCAATCCAGGCACCTCAGGAAACAGTCCAAGGGGCTTCAGTAGACAGAAATCAAAGTCATTGCTAAACAGGCCACAGTAGACAGGACAGCCAGCTGAATTACAAAACTCTTAAGATTTAACCTGCTTTGCACTCACTGTTCCTAATTTTAACTCACCAAAACTACTTCTGGCCCTCCAAGCAAAAAAAAAAAAAAAAAGGTAAGAGCACTGGCTGACCAGTGAAATGTAACACGTGGCACTGGTGCACTACAGTCTGCTCTCTAAAGTCACTGCGACTATTAAACATGTAGCTTAAGTTATTTTTTCAACATTTTTAAAGGTTTGATACCTTCTCCCCCGAAGCAAAAAAATTGGTATTGTTTGTTTTTATTTTGATAGCATGGTTACGGACTCTAACAGAAATGCATGCGTGTGTGCTGAGCACGTAATATGGAAGTTACTGCTCTTTCTAACGGGGTCTAGTAAGAATGGCAGAGAGACAGTCTATGAGTGTTACTTGATTACATTAATAAATACAACAATAAATTATGAAGTATAATAAACAAAGCAAAATTACAGTTGTCAACGAGCTAAGGCTAATTCATCACCTATTATTATGTTTCATCCTTTTTGCAGAACTCATCAGTGCAAATTAGTACCAATTTGACGTTTAGGTTTTAACTGATTACAGTTTATAAGTGGTACGTCCACATAGGCCTTAAAACATGGGAAACATCACCTATGAATTAAGTGCAAACACAGGACAGAAAAATTCCAGTAATGCCACCTCCTCACCTTTCAGAAAAACCACAACCTCTACCATTTATGGGAGTAAACCAGCACCTTTATTATTGCACGTTCGTCACAGAGTATTTCCATCTCTTGTTTTCCCGTTTCACTATGTCCTACAACTTTACTTCTCACCCACCTTCCCTACTCACAACTGAACCACCTCAGCCACTCCAACTCAGAGACACAGCAGGTCCATTTTAAGATCAGAAGGAAGGTCTAACCTAGACTCAGTTTCACCTTGATTAGATACATACATAGATTGGGCAAAGATCTGGAGAACTCTGAAAAGGGAAGGCTGAGCAAGCCCAGAGCAATTTCCAGCTCTCGCTCACGGGCTATGGACAGATGAGGTACACAAGAGCCAGGTTCACCACAACCCAGGCCTCCACAACTGCTCTGCCCACCTCTTCCTAAACTCACGCTTAATCTTACCATAAACCACTGCATTCCTCATGGCTTCACAAGAAAAGTAATGTTTTCTATATATATTTTTTTTCTGCTATGAGAATACAGTGAGTATAGATTATAATAAGCAAACCCCATGTTTAATTTAAACACATGCATTCTCTATGATAAAAATATATAGACAGCTAACTTCAACTTTGTATCCCAGGTTAAATTAAGGTGACACGACACCAAATGACCAGTTAAAATATTTCACTTGATGTAGAAACAACTTAAATTCAGAAAAGGATAGTAAGCAATGTAGTCTCTTATTGATAAATCTATAAGAAAGGAAATAAAAGAAAAAGAAAGGGCAGAAAGTCTGGTTCACCACTCCAAGTTGCAACACTGTCTCGGGTCTGATTATCTTGGGTGGTGGGTGCACACATAGCAAAGTTTTCTGTCACCTTTTAAGTTCATCTTATCAGCTTATTAGCACAGCAGACAAAGAGAGGCAAGTACTCCACCAACTCATTTCCATGAGAGACGAGGTGGTCATGCTCCCCCCTACCACCTTTACTACTCCAGTAATTGTCCAGCCTTTACCTTATCAGTGCTTTTGGCCCAAATGTATAGTTTCCTTTGAGGCTTATCTAAGGAATTTGGCACTACAGCAGCAAGGATGTGGAGCTGTGCATCCTTTGATACACTGGGCTTCCCTGGGCAGCATTCCTTAGACGAATCACGAAGGCCACAATACTGTGGCAGACTCACTATACTCATCTCATACAAAACAAAACCAGATAAGCTGCTAAAACAGATACGGTGCTATACAAAATCCTTGTGTTTAAACTGTCAGCCTCTCCAAGCAGTCCTCAACATTTAATGCTTCTGTGGTGTAAATAATGGTCTAAACCCTCAATTTTAGTTTATAAAGACCTAATCCTATTAGCTGTTTCTGCTGCTCAGTTAAATTCTGTAACAAGTTTAACATGAGGATTTGTTACTCTGATTTGGTTTCCTCTCACTGTAAAGTACTTCATCCACAAAAAACTTCCAAAAAAAAGGAAGAACCTCCCAAGAAGCTACCTGCTGAAGAAAGCGGTCTGATTAAAGAAAGAAGGGGGGGGGGGGGGGGGGGGGGGGAGAAAGGGAAGGGGAAAACAAAAAACAAACAAACAAAAAAAGATAAAAACTCTAGAAAGCACTTAGCTTTTTGTAAGTTAAAAAAATCCTTCATCTTCTGTCGTCTTACTCAAACTCTACTATTTCTGTCCTTTTGGGGAAGGAAGCTTTGCTACCATAGGCAAACCCACAGCTAAAAGCAGCACGTAACAGTTCTTACTGACTTAATCCTTTGGGCCTTTAAACTGGAAAACCACTCAAATATACCTCAGTGATCTAGTTTACATATATGCGTGCCTTTCTTCAGTAACAATGTTTCATCAAGCCATTGCCACATAATATATCTGCAGATTTAAAAAAAAAAAAAAGACCTTGTTACAGCCTTTCAGATAGCAATTTCACAGAGAAGCATCTTAAATTATATGTGCCTTTAAAGAACAGCATTGATGAAGGACTATTTTGAAATAAACATTTATACATACACATTCAATGTAAAAAAGGATATGCCTACCCATACACCTTCTTTTAATCTAGAACATCATTCATACTTCACCAATACAACTCCAACCTTTGCTGCATTGTTTTCGATACCCAGGCAATCCTCCAGACATAAAAAAACCCCAATCAAAACAAAACAGCCCAAAATAATTTCATAATAAAATCCTGTTTATATCTAGCCACAATCTTCCCATATTTTTAACTTTAGGTATTTTTAAATTTAATTTCATTAAGCCCAATTCTGATTTACAGATACCTTTAAGAATAATGATTAGAGAAGGTCTATTCAACGTCAAGCAGTGAGCGTATGCAGGTCTCCAGCTAAAAATTTACAAACTCTGCACTCTTTCTACCTGTATGTAAATCTGTACCTATGTACACATTGTTTATGAAAATATTGAAGGAATGGCACAAGTACTCCCACAATGAATCTATGGCATTTGGCAGGTACATACAAGGGTAATAACCATGTAGCAGATTCTGATTTATTCTCCTCTCAGTTAGTTCTCAGGGGAAACGTACACTGAACCTTTAAGACACACTTCCATCACTTACTTATTTGGGATTTCCAAAGGAAACATGCCAGGATAATCTACATAAGAGCATCAGTGTCGAAGTAGACCATATTTTGCTAGTATGGGATAAAACTCATTGCACAAAGCCTACCACATATTAAATGGACTAGACTGAAAGAAACCCTGCAAGTGCAAGAGTAAAATTAGAACCTTTGCCTACCATGCTTAAGCCTCCTCTTCTACACATGCCTGAACCAGCACTGATCTTCTGAAGCATCTTTTCACTCAACTAAAAAGGAGTGAACAGCTCACTCTTCATAGTCCTCTCAGTGGTACCATAATTAAGAATATAAACCTCAGCAAAGGAGGAGGTCAAATACTTATTTCACACTTCCAGAAGCTTTCTTCTAACTACTGAACTGTTGAAGACAACAATCTTCTTGACTATGGTTGTCATGTAACTCTGTCATGTACTAAAAAAATTCCCTCAAAACAGCCTGCTGCATTTTTGTATTTCTTTTCAGTGTTCTTTAAAGTCTTTTAACCTACAGACAAGCACCACCACCAGTGCAGCTGGAACAGTTACGACTGTATTTGCTGGTAGGTACAGCTCAGGAAAGAGACCCTGAAGTCACCATTCTCTGAAACCATCAGTTTATCACATAGCAGCTGCAAAGCCAAAAAATGCTGGGAACCATCACAAAAAGGATTAGACAAACTCAGACAGCAGATCCATAATTGGATACCCTCTATTTAGAGGGATGCATCCTCTAATATCTCAAAACAATGATTCTTGATGTTAGGGGCAGAGGCTCTAGAAACTGGCCAAGCTATGCTCTCCCTGAACAGCATCTCCTGTTGCCGCAAAGACAAACTGCCAGACTAGATGGGCCTGTCTCTGAATCAGCTGGGAATTTCTCACATTCTTATGGAGCACATGGAGAAAG